GGCCAAAATTTACAGTAGCTTTGAGGCTTTCGTGTATGAAATCCAACCGTTCATCGTATGCGAGGTTCGAACCCTCAGACCTCACGCACATAATGTAATTAGTTTCGCGTCGATCTAATATGCGAGCGTCGTGATCTGGTTGCTCGAACGAGGTGTGCTGCTGCTGAATTTTCTGCAACTTCCTTCATGGATCAACGACTTTCATTTAGTTTTTCTCTCTGCTTGGGCATCGTCACGGGGCGTACCACATATCGAATTGCTCGTCTTGATGAGACGGACATGTTTACCAAATTTGGGAGTGATCCGACTTGGAATGAGCGAGATATAGGCTCCGAAAGTGACTGTCCGTGACTGTAAAAACAATCACCTTTAATGGTGTTTTGGTGCAGTGAAGCCACACGAAAATAGTGTGCGGCCCATCTTGTTTTAATGTTTTGCTCAGCACTTTGTTCTAGAGTGTCGAATTAAGCCTAAACTTGACCCATAGGGGTTTTCGACCTTGTTGGATCCAATGGAGGTGGTTCCACAGCTGTTTGACACATCGGAAATATAGTTCCAGTTATAGGGTCTATTTGAGGGTGCAAGAGGCCGATTTTTTTGAAATTGTTTCTTTGTGTTCACTGCCTTATACATGTCTGATCGCAATGAAACTTAGTAGGTGGACTTTTGGAATGCTGATGAAGATCTTAACCTGCTTCCTATCTGGGACCAAGGTGCTGAAAAATACGTTCAAACAACTTGCCCTACTGAATGTTGTACTTCAAGAGAAGAGAGAAGGAAAGTCATTTGGAAAGTTTCCTTCAGCTTTAACTTTTTTCCTTCCTAGCTACAGAACCACGTGAAAGCTGAGGAGATTCACGTAATGATGTAACTAGGATGCTCAGACGTAGGGATGCATTATTCACGGGTCCGTCCATGGAGACTTTAGGGGGAGAAAAGACTTTTTTGAGGAATCTTGTCGAAGTCCTCACCCTCGTGCGGAATGTTTGTGATTCTGAAGTTGAGGATTTTGTACGGACGTCGTCAGTCAGAATCAAGCCCGTTTGGCAATCGAGCATCATGTCAAAGGGCATTGTTCCCATTTGGTATGGGTTTGTTTGTTTATTGAAAGGCCTTGCGTCAGCGCTGTCTGCTTCGTGCATAAGTTATTCTTTGGGAAGTAGGTTACCTCAGTTTATCGAGATAACCACTTTGGGTACAACCACCCCTACCCACTGCTTGCAGCTACGATAATCATCTGATTTGCCACACCAAAGTTATGACTGACCAGTTATTCCTTGGCGAGTAGAATAGATAACCACTTTGGGTACAACCACCCCTACTCACTACTGTGCAGCTACGACAATCATCTGATTTGCCACTCCAAAGTCATGGTTGACATAGCTCCCTTAGGGCATCTCTGGCATCTTGGTTGAACTGCTCGTGTATCTTCATATTCAATAGAGAGCTATGATATATATGATGTCACTGGTGGTATCATCTATTGCAAGGGGAGGGGTTTTCAAGCCCTAGCTTGGTAGAGCAAAGGAGAGAAGAGGGTGAACAAGAGAGAGTGGAGGCTCACACAATAGAGAAGAGGAAGTGGGAGGAGGGGTAAAGGCAATTTTTCTTGGATTTGAAGCATTTGAGCAAATCCTACCTGTTTGCGCGCAGGGTTTTCTAGCCAATCCAAGCCTTACGTTTTATTTTGTTTGAATGGACGGCACAATCGAAGGAGGTAAAATCACTGTATATTATCACCTATAGGCGTTCAAATGGCTTTTCCATACATAAATATATATATATATATATATATATATATATATGTGTGTGTGTGTGTGTGTGTGTGTGTGTGTGTTTCCTTCTTCTCCTTCACTCTCTTTCAAATGAGCCGTGTTTTTTTTTTTTCTCGGCTTTCCCTATCTCTCTCTCTATTATGAGCTTCATTGAATGACTAATGGTTGAGCCCGTAACCCTCAAAATGTGATATTTTGAGTGGGATGATCTCAACCGCCCATTTAAATTGGATGACTGGAGCATAGAGAGCTTTCCCAAAAGATATTAGGTTTCTTTTTACTTTTAGTAGTCTCTATTCAAATGCAACTTCAAAAGTAACTCTACTTTTCTCTCTCTCTCTCTCCATGTGCCAATGCATTGCTCGGGTTGAATATTTATCTATATACTCCTAAGCGATCATGTTGTATATACTAATGCCCTCATGTGGAAGAGCTGCTTTGGAGGTTATTTTAAGATAAGAGATTATATGATCCATTCTAGTATCCAAATTCTTTCACAAAACTAGTTTGAATTTTTAGTTCACGTGCACTACCACCCAAAAAATTGAATTGTTCTATCTTATGATGTTATTCATTTAATGCATATGATTTCTGTACATAATAAGATGGTTTATATGTTAATGTTTATAAATAAAAAAAAAGACTATTTAGTTAAAAAGAAATTTGGTGTCAAAATATTTTACATAAGAAAATTAAAAATAAAATAGTATAGAGATGTGGTATTGTGATTGGGGCAATCTTAGCTCTCCATTCAGAATGGACGATTGGATAAGGGGCAACATATAAGTTATATGTTGTAGAGGTTATAGTTATTATTGACTATTAGATATAAAATGGGGTGGTTGAGATGTGTCATTGATTGGGGCACAAAGTCTAAAATGAAATTTCTTGAATATATAGCTCACTTCAACATGTCATATTTCACCTCCAATGACTAACAATGATTTAACCTTGTATCAAAAGTGAAAAGTCTCATTGTATATAATCCTATTTTCTTTTTCTTTTTCTTTTTCTCATTCTCATGGTTGGCCCTTGAGTTGAAAAAATTACATCTATGATGTCCTAAAAATTTCTCTACATAGGGTACTATGAGAGAGCGACATTACACTATGCAAGGGTATATAATCTTTTGGCTCTTCATTTTCCATTTAACACAAGAAAAACAAGGACAAATGGAAATGATAATGTACTGTCCATGGAATCAAATTGTAGACTAATTCCATCTACCAAAAGCCATTTAACACAAGAAAAACAAGGACAAATGGAAATGATAATGTCCTGTCCATGGAATCAAATTGCAGACTAATTCCCTCTACCAAAAGAGTTGCTTTGGAGATTTTGTCAACTTGAAATGTTGAAATCCACTTTGGAATCAATTTTTCTTTTTAAATTATAAAATAAGGTCACAAAAGAATTGGATCATTTAATATTAAGATGTTATTCTTTAAGTATACTCGGAATTCATTTGAAAAACTCTCCACCTTCGGTTGCTAGGTCAAGGAGCTTATGTCCCAAAATACTGGGGTTCCTAAGAAATACTCTTGAGATAGGATATTACCCATGAGAGAAAATAAATGATATGCTCTTGTGGGAGCATGTAAATTTTGGCAAAGAGGTCCAGATATTTTGTATAGTGCATATATAACATGCTCCCATAGGAGCATACTCCATTCGGCAAAAGAGCTATTTAAAAGGAGTTTTTTAAGCATGAAATTTCAATATTTTCATCTAAGATCTGTCAAATGATTATTTTCCAAGAAAAATAAAAAATCGTCAATGCTAAGATCTAGACCGGTAGAAATGCAACAACCTTGCTCACTTTTAGGACACTATTATTCATGTAAATATTATTGTATTTTACTTTTTTCTTTCTTAGGTTCGTTTACGTCCTCAAAGTTTAGGGTTCCAAAAATGGTCCTAGCTTAGGGTGCAACTAGATGGCATGCTCCCCGTGGAGCAGAAAGTCACCGCACTTTTGTATGCTACACAGACACGGCCGTTTCGTCTTTCTAGACATCAACGTGTTAGAGTTAATGGAGTGGATTTAGAAAAGGACCCGGTTTTTATTCGGCCAAGCCCGTATATATATAGAAATACGTGCTTTTTAATAAATCTAATTTTAAAGACAGGTAATCTCGGAGATCATATATATTAAAAAAAAAACTAAATTTTAAAAATTAAAAATAAAATTTTTAGTAAAAAAACATTTGGACCATTAGTTTCCATTGCTTTTAGATGGAACCATAGTTAGCAAGTCTCCGATTTAATCGCGACTTTTTTAAAAAAACGTCACTTCTTTAAAAAACGATTTAATCAGCGACTTTTTCAATAGATCGATAAAAATATGCAATATTTTTAGGAAGAAGTTTAAAACACGACTTTTTCAAAATTTGAAATTTTTTTTTTCAAAAAATCTTTCCTATTAATATACTCTTTTTTTTTTGGAAAGTTCAATATCTTTTTTGTGTTTTATGAAATTTCTATTTCTATTTTTATTTCGATTATCCCGAAACTTTCTCTGATTCTCTGCTATGGATATGGTGCATATTTTTTCAGGTGGTTATTGGTTGACCATAGATAACAAGTACGGGGTAAACAGTTTCGTTTTAGAAAGATGAAAATTGAATTCACCTACCCAGTACTTATCTTGACGAATACAATAGATAATCATTGATTTAGAGATATATCACATTGAATATTTGAAATTTATATTTAGAAGGAGGTTATTTTTACACTGAGTGACATATATAAAGTGAAAGCATTACTCCTCACTACTATTAAATTTTTCTATAATGAGTGATATATATATTTAGAGTTTTAAAATTTATAATATTTTAAATAAATTTGATTTTTTTACTCCGATTTTTTGAGTCTAATCCGATATATTTGCCATATCTTTACATGAAGTATTTTTGTCGATCCATATTTTTTATCCAATTTTTTTATCCAATTTTTTAAAATAAAAACGATTAGTTTTCGATTTCATGGTGAGCCAATTTATTGATAATTTCCGATTTGTTAACTATAGATGGAACACCTACTTGTATCCATCTTTAAGATGTATGCTTTACACTTTTTTGACTATATATGTAGAAATGAAGTTCAACCTGAATGAAGTTCGATAGAAATGCAGTCCTATCAAAAAAGTAAAAAACCTAACTTTATAACTCATCTAAAATTGCAATTCAAGCAATAGAAAACTTTCATATTGATAAATTTGACTCGAATATTATGATTGTGAAAAAACTTAAGATTTCAAACTCTGAAAACAGTATATATTACAAAAAATTATTTAAATTGTCTATTTCACCCCTATAAAGAGAGCTTAAAACTGAAACTAGAGATCGGGAGCAAAGGCGTGAACAGAAAGCGAGGAAGCTTCGGGTCGCCGGCTCAATCGACTCTGAATTTTGTTCCCGTTCTGAGAATTAGGGTTTCAGGTCCTCATCACTAGTTTCCATTTTCGTTTTACTCTGTTTGTCATTTGTTTATACGCATTTCTGTGAAATTGAGTTCTTGTATCTTGCAATATCTTCTGTCTTGTTTTGGATCGGTGGTTTCTGGTTTGATATAGAAGAAATTGAGTTATGGTGATGTGATTTATTTCTCGTGTGAAAAGTTTTCATTTTGTTGTGACTGGTAGGTAATTGAAGGACTTCTGTATTTTCTTCGGTTGAAATGGTTATTGAGGGTTTTTTTTTTTTTTCGTTTTTACCCTTTTGAATTTTGAGGTTTTATGTAGTTTTTATAGAAATTGTTGTATTGGTGGTTATATTCATCATTTCATATTTTCCATTTGTTATTGTTATTTGATTGGTATGCTCTTGAGTCTTGGTTGAACTCAGCGTTATTGGTAGATTTTTTTGTTTCCTTCAATTTCATCATGATAATTGTTTTTTTCTTCTGCTTTTTCTTTAACCAGTCTCTGACTTTATTTTTAAATTCTAGTATGGCCGTTTCCTTCTTTTTTTATTAACTGAAATCATACTTGCTTCATATTTCAACTTGTTAAATGGGGAAAATGCAAAATTTAACTAACATTGAGTCCATGCGTTTCATCCAACCTTCTAAATTTCTGGTAATGTCCAAAATTAGACCAATGAGATTCTGTCCGCTATATAAATTGAACTGGGTGCTTTGAATCCGTCTTATCCCTTACAATTCTTTGCCATTCAGCAATAACTTGATATTTCAATAAAATACTCACCGTCTAAATAGATATTTCGATATCTATCTTTCATCTTTCGATCACAAAGAAAACTTAGATAGGCAACAAACAAACTCGTTCATGTGGTATGTAATTGATATTTAATGATATCAATTCCTTCCATATGAGGATGAATGATGCATTGAGAAAAGAGAAAATAAAGAACTGCCTCTTGGCATTCATTTTTCTATTGCATCCTCTTCATTCCTATTCTTCTTTCTCAGAGGGGTCTATTTCAAGATAAAGGATTGCTTCATTCCTGGTAGTTCTTCTTTAACTACCAGATACGACTACACCGTGGGTTGGGATCGTTTCTAAATATTAGTATATCTGTTTCGCTCTTTTTTTGTTGACTGAAATCATAGTTGCTTGAAGTTTCAATTGGTAAATGGGGAAAATATCAGTTTAACTGACATTGAGACCATGCATTTCATCCAAGCTTCTAAGTTTCTGGTTAGAAACTTTATCCAGATTTGTGGACCTATTTCCATGAGTACTGGTTTTCTTCATGTTGAAGATTTCGTGTTGCTGACCTTCATGTTGAAGATTTCTTCATGTTGAGCTTTGTTTCCTAGATATGTCTTGGACATAGTGGGAGCATTTTCTTTACTTTTTTCCTTATCTGTTGCCATATAAATAGTTATCACTCCCATTTCTATTATTCATGCATATCATGATTGATGATTGTACTATGTACACTTAGTGAATTAGTTTTCTATGTGCGGCTTGGTGTTCACTCCTTCACTTTTTTTCTTTTGTAGATATATCCAGGTTGTGGACAATACAATGATATTGCAATTGGGAGAAGCTGTATTGAAGAAGAATCAAGCTCACATTTCTGTAAATTTAGTTTGAACTTTTGGGGTTTTAGTGGCAGAACTTTAGCTCTTGGCTTTTTTGTCCATTTCTAGTTATTTCCCACACTGAAGCTATGAGTCAACAACCACTTATATACAGTTTTGTTGCAAAAGGAAATGTTGTTCTTGCAGAACATACATCATTTTCGGGTAATTTCAGTACTATTGCGGTCCAATGCCTTCAAAGGTTGCCAGCAAACAGCAACAAATTCACCTATTCATGTGATGGTCACACATTCAACTATCTCGTGGATAATGGGTTTGGTAAGTCACCCACATCTGCAGTGTTGCTTACACTTTCATCTGTTATTTATTTTTAGTTCCTTCTGAAGTTATTTGGGTTATGCTTAACATTGAAATATGTTGTCACTCTTTCTTTCCTTTGTTTGTTGCTTCTTAATTACATTTTATATTATATTCATTTAAATTAAATAATATGCTTATTGGTGGTTAAGAGAATTTGTGAAATATGTTAATTACTGCTTGATTATGGTCTCTATGTACGGTTCGACGTGGTAAACATTAACTATCTAGAAGAAAGTTATACTGTCACACTATAATGTCCTGCTATGGATTGGGCTGTAAAAGTTTTCCGATCTTCAAGTGTCGTGGGTAAAAGTAATTAATGACGTCAGACCAAAGGGAAACTGAAATTTGACTAGAATCAGTTTCCTTCAGGGGTCCTGATGATGAATTGTACCAGTTCTTCTAAAGGAAATCTAGTTTCAGCTGGCTTCTTAGAACACATGGAAACTGTTGCGCGTAGGTGTTTGGCTGTGATTAGTTCCATCTTGGTGGGTATCCTTGTCCTAACTGGGTGATTCTCAGTGTTAAATGGTGGCTTCCAGGGGAATTCACTAGTCCCTTGGATGCTTGAAGGGGTCCTTGGGGTAATTTTATATGAAAATTATGTTTTGCATGTTTTGACATTGAAGTGAGGCTAACTCTTTGGCAAATAGAGTAGCAAATTAGGTACATAGAATTGGATGAGGATAGGTATCCTTAGCTTGTTTCCGCTTCTTTTTAGGGGGTTTTATCTCCTATTGAATTTGTTAATGATAAAAAATGTGGTTGATAGATTATTCTCATAACCTATTGAAAATATATTATTGTGCTGTGACCTAGAAGTTTGGTCAGTACTAAAGTTCTCAAAAGTCGACATTTTACTTTCCTGTACTTCTGTATTGGGAAATAACCTAGTTTCGTTTTTGGACATTTTCATGGCTTCTCTTCTCTTAGTTTTTTGTTTCTTTCTTATCCTGACTGGTGATTCTCATAGTGTTAAATGGTGGCTTCCAGGGGAATTCACTGATCCCTCGGATGCTTGAAGGGGTCCTTGGGGTATTTTATATGAAAATTGTGTTTTGCATGTTTTGATGTCGAAGTGAGGCTAACTCTTTGGTAAATAAAGTTGCAAATTAGGTACATAGAATTGGGTGAGGATAAGTATCCTTAGCATGTTTGCCCTTCTTTTTAAAGGGTTTTATCTCCTTTTGAATTTGTTATTGATAAAAAAAATGTGGTTGATAGATTATTCTCATAACCTAATAAAGCTATATTATTGTGACCTAGAACTTTAGTCAGTACTAAAGTTCTCAAAAGTCGACATTTTACTTTCCTATACTTTTTTATTGGGAAATAACCTAGTTTCTTTTTTTGGACATTTTCATGGCTTCTCTTCTCTTTGTTTTTTGTTTCTTTCTGATAAGTGACATCATGGAGGTAGTAGAAAAATGAAAGTTGAGTGGTAAAGAGATGTTAATGCGGCATCTCAACCCCCTGCTTCATAAAAAAAAGGGAAACCCCACTCCAACCCAGCACACAGAATCCTGACTCACTAATATTTGCAAAAGCAACTGCTCGGTGTAGTTTCCCAATACTAACATGTAGATAGTCACTTTATCTGGACATTTATGCTATTGCGATTCTTGATTTCTATCTTTTTTGGCTCTGCACTTCCATTTGTCATTTTCTCTCAGGTGTTGAATTTTGGGTTGATTCTTTTTGTACTATTATACTTGAAAGTTTGAAGTGATATTCACCTTGGTGATGGAAATTATTGTAAGCTCTAATGTATTATGTGGTATGGGACTCCAAAATAACAAAATTTAAATACTCTAATCATGTGGTTCTGCAGTTTTTCTTGTTGTTGCTGATGAGGCTGTTGGTAGGAGCGTCCCTTTCGTGTTTCTTGAGCGAGTGAAGGAAGACTTCATGCATCGATATGGAGAAAAAGCAAAGAGCCACCCTCATCCTCTTGAAGATGAAGATGAAGATGATGACTTTCTCGAAGATAGATTCAGTATTGCATACAAACTTGATAGGGAATTTGGGTACTATATTTTATGCCTAGTTGAAATTTTTATCTTGGTTGATACCTTTCTGATTAATGCTTTATCCTTCTATTTGTGAAAAACAAGGCCCAGGTTAAAGGAACACATGCAATACTGCATGAATCACCCTGAAGAGATGAGTAAGCTGTCCAAGTTGAAGGCTCAAATTACTGAGGTCAAGGGGATCATGATCGACAACATTGAGAAGGTGCATTGTTTTCTTGTTTAATAGTATGAAACTTCTGTGGCTTAAAATTATTTCTTTGAGACTTTTTTAAGGGAGTTTTTGAATCTAATGGTGAATCTCATTAAATCGAGTTGAAATTTCTTTGATTGACTTCTCCTTGTAAGTCCTTGCATAACAATTTTTACTGGGTAGAAAGAGTTGGTAGAGAAGCTATATGCTTCTAAGATGTTGTTACGCCTCAATAAATTTATGTAAATTTTACTCATGTTAGAAAATTTTCGATTAATGTTCTGATCTGTATCCTTTAGACATGTTGAACAATCTAAAAGTTGAATACCTGCAATGGAATACATTTTTGGATCATGTTAAGTACCTGTAAAGTTTCTCTACTGTTCCCACATTATCATCCAACACTGGAAAAGAAGAATGATTTAGATGCTATTGCCTGTTAAGTGCTCATACTACAATTTCTATTTAACTTCTTAGAACTTATTATTATATTACTTTATTAAACTCCACCTCATACATGAGGTGTAATACTAATATTAAGTGTGTAATGTTTAAAACGCACGTCAACTAAAGGACGTGGCAAGTGAAAGGAAAAGGTGAAGGGTAAAAGGGAATAAGAGTAGTGATGGTCCTTATGGACCATAATGCTTATATAGACCATCATACTATAAAGAGCTTTTTTTTTATATATATAAAGCTCATCCGAGATAGGGAGAGACTTTGTTATCGAGAGAGACTTTGTTTAGGAGATAGAGAGAGAGGTACTTTCATGACACCTCAAGTAAGAGGTATTAATAAAATATTAAATGAGTATATAAAATGGGTAATAGATTATAATATAAAATGGGAGATGGCATACTAACCTGCCACGTCAAAAGTAACAAGAGAGAGGGCCAAACACGTTAATTTTGGTATTATAGGTAACAAAAGAGAATGCTAACCTATTAATTAAAAGGAGTAAGATAAGGAGTGGTCTATTATGGACCACCCTATGTAAATAGTCCACATGGTATAATATTAGTATGATGGACTCTCATTTAGAAATTATTTCTTTAAGTATTATATTATATTTTATTTTGTTTATTTATTTATTATTATTATTATTGTATTTA